ACTAGACTTTAAACTCCAGCACAGCCATCAGGACTAATCTCTGACTGCTTCTGTATAAATGTATCACATTCTTGAGATTCTAAATCCTTGGTGGGAGAATCTGATTGGCCAGTTTTTCACATGACATAACCTGCCATGGAACTGGGATGTGGAGCAAGATCTGTAATAGGGATTGGGGGAAGAGTAGCCATGACTTCAGCCTACCATATTTCTTAAAAATAGGTAGGATGTTACAATGTACAGCAGCTAAAAGTAAGCATCCTCTACAAAAAGTTCATATCATCTTTTACCTATCCTGTTGTTTCTCCAGGTTACTGTGATGGCTGGTCCCAGCTGTCATAGGATATGCTCTCTTGTGAGCAGACATATTCTGTTAAAGGGGTAAAGCCACATTTTGATGGACATGGACATAAACCTTCTGGAATGATCTGACTATGCATCCTGCTTTTATGTGACTCTGGCTTCTGAATTCTTGTCATGTTCAGAGCAAAGCCTGGTAAGAATACTGAAAAGCACTTCCAGAGCAGTGAGAAATCCACAGTGGGGACATTGCCTGTGGACTTGCTCAAGAATGCAAAATGGGATATGAGCTGCTGGAGTGTTTGAGCACATCATCCTAAAAGCTTCTTGTTTAATTTTAGGCACTGAAAAATTATTGGTTTTTTCCCTTTTGGAAAAAACAACAACAGAGGATCACTTATGCCAAAGAAAGAGAAGCAACTAAGAGGCAAAATTTCAGCCAAATGAAGAGAACTTTGAGGTGCTCCTTTATAGTGAATGAAATCATTCAATATCTTTATGGTTGGTCAGCCCTGGGTTGGAATCCCAGCCCTCAGACACTTTCTAGGAGGACAGTCTTGGGCTAGCAACTGAAGCCTTCCTGAGCCTCAGTTACCTCATCTATAAAATAGGAATAATGGTGTCCCTAAGAATGGATGGTTGTGAGGATTAAAGATGGCCTACATAAAGCCTTCAGCCACAAGACTGCTCAGTGTTTGGTCCTTATAGCTCCTCTGCTCTTTCTTGTTCACAGAAGCAAATAGAGCAGATAGCACACTTACTCCACCATAAAGCGCAAAGTTACTAGAAGTATGTGAATGAAAGTCAAAGGTTAGACATCAACAATGAAATAAAACAGCAGCATGGAGGAGAGAGGGCACTGAACTCCAGCAAAGAGAAGGCAGAGCTGTGTTATCAGTGTAATTCCTGTGTCAATGCTAAAGCCACTTAGCATTGAAGTCACCAGAGATGAGAACGAGGGAGGAATCCTGAAGACAAGAGAAGTAATCTTTACAGTGCACATACTTTGCTGCAAGCCAGGTGCTTTACAAACAGCGCAGTACTACATTCAAACTACATAACAGCCCTGTGAAGTAGGTACATTATTACCTTCACTGTATAGATAATGAAAGGCAGAGAAAACTCATCCCTAGAGGTTATACACCTCTTCCACTCAAGACAGCAACCAGCTTGAGGCAGGAATCAGCACCATTGTAAATTTGGAGACTGGGTCAGGTGCCAGCTGTGTTCCCATCAATTCTAATAAGATTAGGCAGGGAGAGGAAGTGGTCCATCTGAATAAACATGAAGGCTCCACTGTATCTATGTAGATGAGAGATGGGGCAAGATACTGTATCAGCAAATTCAGGAGGCTCCATTTGCATTTTAGTGCTCTGAAGAAAAATGATAAAAAAAAATTAGAGATAAAGCAAGAGGAAAACTGCATGTCTCTTATGTATCACCGTTAACTGGCTCACCAAAATTCATATTATCTGGGACAGCAGTTGACAAACTATGACTGGCAGCCATGTGTTTTTGTAAGTAAAGTTTTATTTGAACACAGCCATATCCATTTGTTTATGTATCATATAAGGTTATTTTCATGTTACAATGTTAGAATTAAGTAGCTTCAGCAGAGATCCTGTGCCCTCCAAAACCAAAAGTATTCCTACTTGGCTTTTTAAAGAGTTCGCTGGCTCCTAACCTAGGAGAATTTGCTTGTGTTTGAATTGGCTATTTCCTATCTGACAAAAGCCCAGATGCTCTGAAGTTACAGATCTTCTGGTCGGTTTCTGTAAGGGATAAAAGATAACCAGAAAGCTATAGCTTCACTTCCCTGTAGGACATCAACCCATTTTATTATCTATGAGCAAATTTATTTTAACATCCCTTTGACCAACTATATGCATTTTCTTCCTCTAATTTTTCTTTGAAGAAGGCTTACTATCCTACTGCTTCTTTCATTAATTAATAAGTTGAATAGGCCAGGCACGGTGGCTCAAGCCTGTAATCCCAGCACTTTGGGAGGCTGAGGCGGGTGGATCACAAGGTCAACAGATCGAGACCATCCTGGTCAACATGGTGAAACCCCGTCTCTACTAAAAATACGAAAAATTAGCTGGGCATGATGGCATGTGCCTGTAATCCCAGCTAATCAGGAGGCTGAGGCAGGAGAATTGCCTGAACCCAGGAGGCGGAGGTTGCGGTGAGCCAAGATCGTGCCATTGCACTCCAGCCTGGGTAACAAGAGCGAAACTCCATCTCAAAAAAAAAATAATAATAAGTTGAATAGATTTTCTTTCTATTCATTCTATTTTGTATGAGTCATGGTTTTAAAGTTTTGAATGCTATGCTATCACAACTCCAGGGAATACCACTGAATGCAGCAGGAATGGGGAGGGTGGCAACTCTTAGGTTAGGGAGAGTGGCACTGATAGCCAACGCCATTGGTGCCCTCTACAGTATGTACTTCCTTAATTAACACAACAACCCTATACATTTTGTTAACCTACAAAGTGGGGAAATGAAGATAATAGTAATACCCGACTTATCGGGTAGTTCTGGTGGTCAAAAAAGAAATAATGCAAGTATTTAGCCCAGTGCTTAGCACTTAATGCTTGTCCATTAAATGCTAGCTGTGATCATTATTACTGATGGTACTAACCTGTGTATTAGTGTTTCTCTGGTTGCTCATTGCAGACATTTACCTCCTACCAGATTTAGCAAAGAAACATAAGAGGAAATTATCAGAAGCATCTTAAGCTTGCACAATCAAAGGAAGAGCTAAACAGCTGAGCCCCAGGGCTGTCTCTTCTCCACAAGGGTTAAAACTCAGAGGTGTGAAAGAGCTTTGTGGACTAAAGAAACTAATGACTTGGTTTTGCATGACCATACAGCCAGATCAGGTGGGGAGTTGGCCTCATCCCTTCCTCTCCCCTGTAAATTGAGGTAAAGACTGTAACTTCCTCACCTTTGTGTCCCTGCTTGCCCAGAAAAGCACTTTACACATGGTGCATGGTCAATAAAAGTTTATAGACCTAAATTACCAGCAGGTTGATGGGGAAGATAAGTAGATATGACTGGCAAAAGAAATGTCATGATCACCTATAAAAAATAGTAATGTATCTGATTTGGTGGTACAGGTAGAGGCCAGTTTGGGGCAGAGACCTTAAGTTGTATAGCCCGAGGCTATGTTTCCTCTTTACAACTATAAAATGAGAGGAAGACAACATTCTAAACACAGCTTGAATGGGCAGAAGTACAGAGATGTCCTCTTCCTTCTGTCATTCCTCTGTTTTTTGGGGGAGATGGAAAATTAGACCTGTTCCCCTTCTACCCCTAGGGGCACAGAGCCGGCCTGCTTTATTACATTACAGGAGCTGCCTACCTCAATTGCATTGACAAGGCATGCCAGGCCTGTGCACACATCCAGATCTTTCTAATCCCTTTAGTTCCATCACCTGGACATTTTATTTGAAATTTATTTTTAAATGTCCAAGTAATTGAGGTTTATGTGTAGTTGCCTCTTTGAAACAGGGGTAAGCTGAGGCTGCTTGTATCCTCATTAAACACTGATTAGAAGTGATTGCATTACTGGAGGCCTCAATTGTGCCATTTCTGAGGGCTCCCATTAGAGAGCAGCTTCCACACTTGGCAGACCTGAGCGTCTGGAGAGCAGATACAGAGTTGGGCTATGTGTCCCCTCCTGCACTGTCTGCAGATGACCATCTCTAATGGGAGGCTGTTTTCCAGGGCTTCTCAATGGCGCTGTCTCTGGGGCATGTGTAATCCACCAGGCTCTGGTTTGGGCAAAACATTTGCTTTTGTTCTGGAGACATAGGACTTAGGAACGAAGTTCTGGGGTTGGAGGTCTAATATCTTTTGGTGCTGATTTTGTAAACTTGGGCAGGTTCTAGGGCCTTTTTCTTCCTCTATTTTGTTCTCTCATGTCTTACTCCTACCCTGTATGTGTGGCTCAGACTTGCTGTTTACCAAACACACTGACCTTCAGAGTTGCTGTGGATAAGGCCTATTGAGGGACCAAAATGACCTAGAGGGAAAATTGTTATCTTAAAAACATCCTCTGCCTCCATGCTCTTGAGAGTAGTATTACTATGGCCCATTCCAGGAGGAATAGAGTTTGGGAGTTTGAAGTAAGGAGGGGACCCAAACTCTAACTCTGAAGTCAGAAGGATCTGGGTTTGAATCTTGGCATTAAAGGCAGGGTAGTAATGAATACAATCCTGAGTCTCCCTTTGGTTCAGTTCCTTCCTCTGTGAAATGGGGCTATCAAAGCCTACCTCAAAGGGTGAGTGGGAAGACTGGATAAAATGAGGTGTATACAGGGCTGGACGTAACACAGTTCAGCCAACCTGAGGTCACTTAGAAACCATCTCACCTTGCTCTTGTAGCCTTTTGTTCTGTTTTTCTTTGCTTCGAATTCTACAGTATAAATTATGACCTCTGAGATCCATGAAAAGGGAAAATTATGTAGTAAAAAGGAAGGCCAAAAGGCAAAAGTCTGAGACCTCTGGCCTCTCCTGCAGTATACAGTATCTGGAACAGCTCACTTTTGTTTTCTATACATTGGGGTTTTATGTAATATTTCCACTAAAAGAATACACTGCTTTGAAAAGAAAAATGGACTATTATGACTGCATTAGAAAATCCATGGAGTCCTCAAGGGGAAATAAGACCTCTGATTTCCTGTCACCCTGCAGAGCCCTCTCAGCACACTAAGTGGAAGAAGCTCCTTGGCATGTATGGGAATAAATCTGACAACCTATCTGGACTAAGGCATCACTCAAGCTATCGCTATAGAGAAAGAAAGATGGTCACAGATTCAGGTAATTAAGGGGTAAGCCTCTAGTATTTGGAGTTCCTCTCTTCTTTTAGGCCAAATCCCAGAGCAGCAGATCGCCACCTGATCTTGGTCTTCTCAAAGTTGCACCTCGCACTGAGCTGAGCATTAGATAGGAATTCAATCAGTTTTGGCCAATGGAGGAGTCTCTATTTGAAGTAGATCAAGCCTCTGTACTTAGGGCCTATGTCGCTCTGCTCTGAAAGGCCCATACAGTGCCTATTCTATGTGAACTTGTGTCCAAAAGAACTAATACTCAGAAGAAGCTGACTGAGGGGAGAGAGAAGACAAGCCATTGCGGACAGAGCCCAGAGTAAGAATTAAAGTGAGAGGTGGGACTGAGCAGTGTGTGCAGCTAAGAAAATGATTCCAGGCTGGGAGTGAATGAGAGTCAAGAGAAATGAGATAATACCTCTTCCTGGATGGTGCTAGAAAGTGCTGGGTGTCCACCCTCACCTTTCATCAGAGAAATCACAGTCATCATTAGTGCAAACAGAGATCTTCTCCTGCAGTATTTAACCAGGGATCTATGCCCCTTTCTATAAATGGAGAGAGATAAGTAGGGAGAAAAGGTTAGGCCACCATTTATCAGACAAATTAGTATGTGCCAGACAATTTACTAAATACTGTATCAAAAGTATACTCATTGAATTCATAGAGCAATTCTATTGATACATTCATTTATTCATTCAAACTAACTATAGTCAGCATTCAGTTGTCCTGGGCACTGGCAATGCAGCAGTGCATAAAATACCCCAGCTCCCCATCTTTGTGGAACTCATATTTACAGGGAGCAAATAATAATAAATAGTCACTTGATAAGAATTAAGAAATATGAGTTGGACTGCTTATCCCTTTCTTGGAGAAGAGGAGACTGGGGTAAGAGGGTCATTCACAGTCAGCAGCAAACCCAGACATGGGTGTCTTCGAATCCTGTGCTTTTAACTGCTAAGTCCTTCTGCTCTTCTCATTCTCTTGGACACTGCATGGCCTTTTACCTTGAAATACTCCCATGATTTAAGCCAAAGGAACCAGTCAATATCCAGCAAAGGCCTTTGAGAAATGTGGCAGGCCCTGCGCCTGCCCACAGGAGGATTTGGAGCTCTGTAGAGTCTACCTCTTTCTGGAGCTCTCCGCACTATTTAATTTCTCTTCTTCAGATCAAATCACACCATAGCTTTTAGCCCAGCTCAGCTCAGCTAAGTATTAATTTACAAATTGCTGCTTCTGGGCCACTACGGTGTCACTGTGACTTAATGACCTAATTTCAATACAGTTTTTCTGGCTCAGTCACCTATTTGAGCCTTTGAGTGTTTCTTCTCCTCCTATGCCACTTTGTCGGAAAGACACATGCTCATGTACAAAAGCAGAAGCAAACACATTAGAGTTCAAATCTATATAATTGGGGCAAAGTCCTCAGATTAAACCTCTATTAACAACTGGGAAGTTAACTCTCATGATGAAGCGTACATCATGGGAGGTTGTTAATAGAGGTTTAATCTGAGGACTTTTCCCGTCAAAAGCCAAAACAGAGATTTCTGAAAGTGAAGTGCGTCTAACCCCATAGTAGAACAAATGGGATATAGTTTGTTTCAAAATGATTCCAAATGATTCATGTAAAGCCACTTCGAGAAAAGGAATTACATCTTTATTCTCTCATGATAAACGAATGTCTCTCAAATAAAACAAGTTGGCAGCATCTCCCTTTCTAACCGCACTGGGTGTTCCAATGTGAGTGTGCATGTATCTGTATGTCAAGCAATAAGAGGTTAAACCTCTTCTGATTTTTATTACTTATTGTTTTGTCCTCTTACTCATTATTTTTCCTTGTTCATCAAAATGTGGCATGCATGTTGAAGTCATCTTCTTCCTGAAGAGAAATCTTTATACAAAAAAGAAAATTCTCCTTCCTCCTTCGCACTTCCTTTTAGAAAGAAAAAATCATAAGAAAAGTGCTAAGACAGGCAATATTTTTAGAGCAAAAACCTTGTGTTAGACCCAACAGAGAATATTCAGAAATCAGTGTCTCCATCTTCAAAGACTGTCTTCAGAGACAGTGTCTCTGACCTTTTAACTGTAAGAGGCAGGCCGGCAAATCCTGCAGAGAACATCAAGGAAGCTGTTGGGTAAAGAAACTGAAGGCAAAAGGGTGTCTGTAGGATCTCCCAGACTATCAGATGCACCCTTCTCAGTGTGCCTGCAAATGATCCAAGCCCATCAAAACCCACCCACTCACCTTCAGAGCCACCAAAATTGTTGACATTGTCTTCCCAGTGACTTTCGAGTGCAGATGGAATAAACGCTTAAGTTCTCCTCCCAGCCTTCAAAGCTTCCAGAGCCAGGATATCTACCTCCCTTCCTCCCTTTTTAGCTTTTCAAAAAATGTACCCCTTCTGTGTCAGGTAACTAGGGCTTCATCCACTTCAAGACATCGCAATCTTCCAAATTCTCTGTATCTTCTTTTACCTTTGAACTTCTCATGTTCTCCCCACTTGAAATATTTTCTGTCTTCAATGCCCCTCCAATTTTTGAGTACTCAAAGGCTATGAAAGTGACATGGCTACATCATAATCCAACATTCATACCTTTTAGAAATTTAGGTGGAATCCCTTCTATCCTCCCCTGTTCTACTCCGCTGCATAGCGCATTGATGGCATTTAGCAAATTCTGCCCTCTGTGGTTGTAGTTGTATCTGTGCCACTGTCTCCAAACAGTGAATCTGCCAAGGACAGACACCTGTCTGATGCATCTTGGCATCTCCCATGTTCCTAGTACATTTATCACTACATGAACACACAGAAGACATTGGGCTTAGCTGAATTCCAGAGGTCACAGACAACCTCAAAGTTGTAGCTGTGTGAGGGTAATATTATTGGCCCAAATGCTCTTCCATGGGAGAGTGCATGAATAAATGTCCAATAGTCACACAATGAAATATAATACAGAAGTGAAAATAATTGAGTTACAGTTGCATGCAGCGGTCTGAATGAATCATAGGAATATAATATCAACAAAAAATAACTCTGAAAAGATTATGTACAGCATGACATTCTTTATATAAACTTAAAAACAATCTAAATAAAAGATAATTTGTGTTTAAGCATACATAAATATTCAATAGGACAGCATGAAAAGGAAGGGAAGGCCAGGCGCGGTGGCTCAAGCCTGTAATCCCAGCACTTTGGGAGGCCGAGGCGGATGGATCAGAGGTCAAAAGATCAAGACCATCCTGGTCAACATGGTGAAACCCCGTCTCTACTAAAAATACAAAAAATTAGCTGGGCATGGTGGCGCGTGCCTGTAATCCCAGCTACTCAGGAGGCTGAGGCAGGAGAATTGCCTGAACCCAGGAGGCGGAGGTTGCGGTGAGCCAAGATCACGCCATTGCACTCCAGCCTGGGTAACAAGCGAAAACTCCATCTTAAAAAAAAAAAAGAAAAAGAAAAGGAAGGGAAAAGGATGACGTGCATAAAATTTGGATTGAAGAAAGCAGGAGATTTGCTGGTAGGAAATACTGTGTGGTTAGATGTAGGTTATTGAGAGATCCCAGCTTTTATTTTTGGTGGTAGATTTGTGCATGCTTATTAAAAATTTTTTAAGTTAAATAATAAAAGAAAGTAGGGCAGACATTAACCAATGATGAAAGCGTGTCAGGAGTCACAGATTATAATTAATCTAATTGTGTGCACCTGAGTTCTATTTAAACAACAACAAAAGGAAAAACTCTTGGCACTTAGCCATTTATGACTATTAGGAATAGAGACTTATCCTAGTCACCTGTGGAACATCAGATTTTGTTCTTAGGGAAGGCAGAAGAGCAGGGGCTGTTCTTCTCAATTTTTTCTCTAAAATGCTCTTCAGTGACCCTTCTTTGTCCCACACACATAGCATCCCTTTGTCTTCTTCGTCTCCCTCTACTGAATGTACAAGTGTGTGCAAGATTCCCAGTGAGAGCACAGATACTAATTGAGTCACTTGGGACTACATTTTGCATGTATTCATTCAGCAAATATTTATATATCAGGCACTGTGCTACATACTGCATATAGAGAGGTCTTCAAACGCCACATGAAGGCTTTCCTCCTAGAGCTTACAGACTAATGGAAAAGACATGCAATGCGCATATGCACACAGAAACACATGCATTGACTATGTAATTATAAACTGTGGAAAGCTTGGTAAAGAAGAACAGAATTGGATGCCAAGAGAGAATAACAAGATCGTTGTTTTTGTTAATATTTAAGGTCACATTTTTAAGAGAGGATAGCAATGCAGGAAGAAACCGATGTTACTGGGAAGGCCTGAAGGTCACCATCTGTGCCTGTGCCAAAATGGGCATGTCTGTTGGTTTAAGGAGTTTATATCAGAAATGGCGTGGGTGAGGTATTGTAATGGGCTTACAAGGTTCTCATCAGCCTTGCCAGCGAAGCTAATTGTTCTTCATCTGCAACATTCTGATTCCTGCTCACTGTGACTAGGGAGAAACGAGAGGAGAAGGATAGGACACCAGGACACAGAGGTGGTCAGAGGAAGAAATATGGATTTATTATGGGTTTGGTGGAGGAGTCATTGGGTGTTTTAAACAAAGAACTCAGATGTTCTCGTTTACATTCTCAAAATGATCACCCTGGCTGCCGTGGGAAAAATGAAGTCAAAAGGGGCAAAGGTAGAACCAGGAAGCCCAGTTAGGGGTGCAGAAGTCTAGAGAGGGATAATGGTATCTTGAGCTGGGGTGGCGTCTGTGGAGGTGTTAAAGGGAGGAGAATGCAGTGGTGCGATGTTGGCTCACCGCAACCTCTGTCCCCTGGGTTCAAGCAATTTTCCCAGCTCAGCCTCCCAAGTAGCTGGAACTACAGGCGTGTACCATCACGTCCAGTTAATTTTTGTAGAGATGCATTTTTGCCATGTTATCAAGGCTGGTCGTCAACGTGTGAGCTCAAGTGATCTGCCCACCTCTTCCTCCCAAAGTGTTGTGATTACAGGCAT